CTAATTTTGCTCAGAGGTCTCCTAGAGACATGAGGAACTTTTACGTGCCGTAAATCTACGACACGGGACCCACGGCTTAAAGTCCCTCCCGGAGGACTTGTTCCCTGAATTTTTCCGCCCTTAAAAATTCCACGACCTCCGCCGGATTCTGAACCCGCGTACCTTGAGTCATGAGGTGGGAACGTTACCCCTAGACTACGGAGGACGCTTCTTATGTTATTATGTAGCTCTGATCAGATACTACTTCAGAATACATCATAACTCAAAACGGCAGCCTTTTGGTTTCTATTGTCACGTGTAGGCGTTTGCGTGAGACTTATAGACGGGTTATGGTTTGGATGATGGGATTTATTGACACTTATACATAGACTCGGGACTACAGGCAATACAGCGCTGTCGCTGATCTACACACTTTACAGTTCACCGTTACACACGCACAAGATTTCTCAGTCTTTACTAGTCGTATTCTGGCAACAGATTTATCACAGTCTCGCCGTCATTTCAAATCACACATAAAGTCTTCTTTACACTGCCTAATTACTTTCTTGCTTGCAGACTAAAAGCCACGGAGTTTATTTTCTAACTAGTTATCTGATCACTTCCCCCTGGCCCTTTATTTTTAATCGTTTTGTAGGAGGAAATGGAGAATTTAAACAGGGATCAGAACTGTAAGGGCTAAATATTTCAGTGCAGTGACCGAATGAGGAAGATATTTCGAACTCTAAGAAACGTGCAAGGAAATTGTTACCTGACAGGAGCGGAAGAGGAGAGTGGATCGGTAAGGTGAGGTGGAGTTTCCCATATGCCCTTAGATAGAGACGAGAGGCAGCAGTACAGTTCTGAAACGTCTGCAGTTCAACGCACTTCTCCACACGGCTGTCACCGACGGACGAGATGCATTTTAGCAAATGAACGGTCGTGAAAGCCGAAGATTTACGTTGTGATTTTCTTTTCATAGATTATTTTAAAGTTTAAACAGAATCTGCTGACAGCGGAAATTACGCGGTGTTGAAAGCTTTGAAAATGAGTCTTCATGGCTAAAAGAGATGGGTGTGAAATTAAACAGTTGTCAGTTTTTCTGTTTACGCATTATCCTCATAGAACTGAAAGATATGTAGACAAAAGACTTAAACATGGAATTTTTAAGTAGATTATGAATTGATGGATAGATCTTTGGAAGGACAGGAAGTGGGACGAAATAGGGGGGTAGGTATAAGATATGGAACAGCGGTAAACTTGATAAATTTATGTGTCTGAATAAACCCGACATCCATTACAGTACTGGGACTTTATTTACTCTGTAAACCACCAGAGCGCTAGCTGTGCGGGGACACTTCTTACTGGGGATTATCATTTCATACGGAACTAAATCCCGTGTGATTTATAGGAAGTACAAAGCTGATCTCCATTTCCACTTATAACATGAAACTTACGAAAGTTGAATATCTGAAGTTCTACACAATGCCATGGTAATTCTTGTCAAGTAACACTTGAACAATATAGTAAAAAAATAGGTAAAGCTATCCCTGTAACAGCCCGTGGAGGCTCATAGGTTTGTGAGAGGTCGAGGTTCTCATATTTCTAGACAGTCTGTTTATAGATGGCGGTGAGTTGTCAGACTTACGCTCCGGCCGCCGTTTACCATCAGAAAGATTCCTGGTACACATTTCTGTTAGAGGCTGCGTCGACCTCAGGTCCACAGTGCGGCTGGAAGGATCAGGTAAATTAAAAAAAAAAAACAAATCCAGTGACCTCATCGGGACTCGAACCCGCGACCTCTCGGCTTTAGCATAGTGTCTCAACCAACTACGCTACAGCAAATTATTCCCAAGCTTAACGAACACATACCATGTCACGCATCGTTATATTGTATTACAGTTAGTCTAGGACAAGTCTGAACAATATTTTAAATTGGCAAAATATAAAATGTAGAATTCTATACGGTACCCAGAAGACTTTTTAGACATGTTACAAAGTCATTCTTCTGTAAATACAAAATTAATTGACTTTACGGAATCATCTTCGGACAGTTGGGAGTTAGTCAGGTGATCCTTTCATATAACCAGGAAATTCTTCATCGTCCTCATAAAAGCAGCCTACCTTTGAACGGTAACCTGAGCCAGCTCAATCTGCTTCATACCACGGCAATCAATTCCTGAAATATCATTTTCTTTTTACTAATTTCCACTCTGATGACACTCGAAACTGTATATTTAAAGCCGACGCAGGTCGAAATTCGAAAGGCTCTAAATAGCATAAAATATTCTTAAGGGTGTTTATTTTTTAAAAACGCTTGATGTGCCTTGCAAAAATTTCAGACTACGATACCCCCGCTCCGACTATTTTTGGAGGCCTCTGTGGTCTAGTGGTCAGAGTTCCTGGCTAGAGATCCAGAGGTCCGGGTTCGATTCACGGCGCTACCAGATTTTCTGAGAAGTAGTGAGTCTGGAACAGAGTCCACTACAGCCTCGTGAGGATAACTGAGAAGCTACTTCAAGGAAATAGTGGCTCCGGTCTATAAAACCTAGATTAACGGCCGTGGGGATCCGTTGCGCTGACCACGCGACGCCCTCTATCCGCTAAAATGGCACTAACTTCGCCGACAAGCGGCGGTCGCTCGGTATAGTTCGCTTGCGGACTACAGGCCACGGACTTTATATTAAATTCGTTCCCATGGCGGAAAAGTACTCATATCCCTTCGAGCGCTGATTAATCCGAGCAGTGTTTTTACGGAGACAACAGTGGATAAAAATACTTGCGGCCACGAAAAGTAACATTTTTCTTTCGCTTTAAAATGATCCGGCTGTGACTTCGTAACGAAATGAATCTCTTGCAGTGTCATGTGACTAAGTGTCAATATTAAGCCATGCGTCGCTACACGTTAAAGGAACATCATTAAGTAACAAGGACGGTATACATTTCACTGCTGATCTCGACAGTAGCTGCTTAATAAAACTGTTAAATATTGAGTTCTTTTATAGAATCATTAAAGCTATCCCTGTAACAGGCCGTGGAGGCCCATAGGGTTGTGAGACGTCAAAGCTCCCACATTTTCTAAATAATCGGCTCACAGATGGCGGTGGGGTAGTCAGCCTTACACCCCGGCCGTCCTTTACCCCCAAGAATATTCCTGGTACTCATTTCTGTTAGAGGCTGAGTCGACCCCAGGGCCATAATGCGGCTGAAAGAATTAGGTCAATTGAAAAAATCCACCTCATCGGGATTCGATCCCGCGACCTTCCCGCTTGTAGCATAGTGCCTCAACCAACTACGCTATCGCGTATATTTGATGCCTTTACATGTTTCGGTCAATTAATGACCATCTTCAGAAGGCAAATAAGAACATCTGAGGACACTACTCTTATATAAATCATAGTACATCAAGTTCAAATTTGTGCAAAGTTTTATATATAAACATTTGATAATGTGCCTCAACAAACAGCGAAAGGAGAAGCAGCTCAACAACAAACACTCTCTCTCTCTCTCTCTCTCTCTCTATATATATATATATATATAAAGAAAAATCTCCCATTGATAGAAGGGACACGAAGACACAAACCTTAGCGGTTTAAGATTTTAAATATTAAGAATTTTATTAATATTTTAAATCACCACATTTTAACTTATTTAAAATCTTTATATATAAAACTTTGGACAACTTTGAACTTGATGTACTATGATTTATGTAATAGTAGTTTCCTCAACATGTTATTTGCCTTCTGAAGATGGTCATTAACTAATAGAAACATGTAAAAGCATTCATATATATATATATATTTGAGTCACACTGGACAGTGTCAAATCATTCTATAACATTTTCTAGTGTGACGGATCAGAATAAAGTTAAACTTGTTGAGTTGTTTCAACTTACATTTTCTGTGCCATCCTTAGTGGGAACTTCCTCTCTATCGCTTTCATGTTTGGCGACTGCGGTAACAGAACTAGTGACCTCCGTAACAGGAACTGACGTCACACGTTCGCTTTCCTTGTTGCTCATTTGTCTCAATAATTGATCCAAATTTCCACCGACAGGAAACGAACCAGGTGATCTTGTAACTGGATAACCTCCTGTTATAAGCAGATCTGCTCCACCTTTTCTATAATAACCCGGCATCAAATCATCACTTGTATTTGCTGTGTCTTGAATATTTTCACCCATTCCAAAATATGTATCATCATTAAGACCACATTCCTGCAGTACTGTATTTTGACCTCTCTCCGAATATGCATTTGCAGTTCTAGCCTCACATGTGTCAATATTTGGCAACAATTCTTCATCTTCTGGAATGCCACGGAAACTTTTCGGACTTTCAAAGGCATAATTGTCTTGCACAGATGTACCATTTGATAACAATGTTGCATCGACAGGTGTGAAAGTATAGTTATAATGACTTTGTGACGGAGGAAAAATTGCTGACCCGTTGCTAACCACGTTTTGTTGAGCACCCGGCAATATTGCAGGTATCTCAGACCATAAATTTTCATTTAAAATATGATAATCACTTGGAGGAAACTCAATTGTCGATCCACAATCGTATGAATTACCTTTCAGGTTATTACCGCCGTAAACTGGTAAACCGTTTGATATATTAGAGTTTGGTAACATTACATCACTCATGAAGACACCTTCCTTACCGTTAGGTAACTTTATTTTACCGAAGAACTGTTGTTCTTGACCGTGTCTACCATTAAGTGTGTTAAAACACGCGCTATTAACTTGGTTATTATTTAAAATCTTCGCACATTTTTCCCCGCCTTGTGGCTTGACAGCATTAAGCTGTTGGAAAGCAAGCGGTGCGGACGGGCTTTCTTCTGCGCACTGCTCGACAGGAGTAAGGTCGTTGGAAACTGTCTCGGCCTCCTCATCGACGATGCTGAGTCCGTCGAACTCCACTCGCAGACTACTACGTCGGCTCTGTCCGGGATTCCTTATTGAGGAAGAGGAAACTTTCTGTTGGTTTTCTGCATTGTCGAGATCGGCGGAGTGCTCGCACGGGCTGGCCCCTTAATCGTCCTCTTCTTCTTCTTCTTCTTCTTCTTCTTCGTCGTATTCCTCGTCTTCATCCTCACATCCTTCCTGAAACAGAGCACACCAGTTACCGATTTGCATATAGAAACCGGACTATATGACGTCCATCGCTGCGCAACGGCTGCAATGGGAATGCATATTTCAGCGGCAACGAATACATGGAAATGCCTCCACCGTGACGAAAAGGGAAATCTAAAATCTGAGACAGTAAAATATGGTGGCGAGTCCCAAGGGATTCATACCCGAAAAAGACTGCGCTGTCAAGGAACAGCAGCATATGAAAATCAAGACCCGTCTTCGCGTTAGAGAGGGCGCCCCACAGCAAGACCGTAACTGAGAAACAGTAATAAATATCTGGTCATGAGCCCCAAATGGGGCACCAAGACTTACTGACTGACTGATTGACTGACTGACCGTCAGCCACAATATGACTTTGACTTTGAATTCGAGTAGTAGTAGAGATCTGTCCGAGATCAGTCTGAGATTAGTGAGAGATTCTTAAGAGAGATTCGTCATCAGACAGAAGCTGTTCAGAAGGAGTTCAAGATGTCAGCTGTTATAATTGACTGTAATTTTAAAGAAGCGCCAATAAATTCAATCAAGTCCAGAACCCATTATTATTAGTCACGAAACCCCGAATACGTGATAATATTCTGAATAGCAACTTTGCTCAAATTCCCCTGAACAAAAATCTATTTTCTGCTGCCCGAAAACAAAAAATTAAGAATGTTAGTTTACGAATAGAACAGTTGTCTTAATGGAGAAGAGTATTTCTTGAGTAACGGCGATTAATCGTCTTGCATGAAGGTTAGCAACACACGGATACAGTGAAAGAAACACGAAGCAGAACACAGAGAAATCCAATAATCTCGTGTACAAATTATTGGTCCACCTTTTCATTTTAAGGGCTTTCCAATTACGGGACAGAAACTCTTAAGTTCATCGGGAAACAATAAAACAGGCAGGAAAATGACCATATTTGACTGTGTCGTGGTTTGAAAACAAGTTTCTCTGTGGCTGTCTCCTGTTGATAAGACTCTCTTAATCCGTAAAAATTCCTTTCGATCAGATATGCCTGGGTTCACGACCTGCACTCAGATGAGGCGTGACCTATAAAGTCGATGCCATTTATAGACCCCATAAACACGGACAGCTTATAAAACCCTTATCAGTGAAGACAGACTTTCTTTCGAAACTCTCGAAAATCCGGTATTACTGCGTTCTTAAGAGATTTGTTGGAAGTACCTACTTATGGGCCCCTCACGGCTCTAACCCGCATTTCATTTCAGGCACGGATATTCTTCTAAATACTGAAACACTTCCAACATGGTGTAAACTTACAAACTACTTTCAAATTTTATTGATAGCGTGTCTCTTAGAATTTCTACAACCATCCTTAAAATTCAGCATACTTAAATATAATATTAGCCTTCAAAATTCAATGGTTATTACATGTAAAACTCATTTTAACATAATAAAATTCTACTTTCTGCCCACAACATATATTTTTTGTGTTTAGTATGGTTCTCACAATAAACAGCATTTATTTCCCTAAACTGCATTAACCGGTTGGTCTCTGTAACGGAAAAATACTGTGTTTCCTGTGAGGTACGAATTGTTTTTTTTATTATTATTTAAAAGAAGTTCAGTCTTTAAAAGTTTGAAATAAAATTATATATTTTTAAAGTTCGCTGTCATATATACGAGTATATAATATTCGACAAATTCTTTCTTGAAAAGTTTCGTGACCCAGAGGACCAGAATTTAAACATTCATCATCTTGGAAACCTCAGATCTCGTATAAACTCAAAATTATCGCTACATCAGTGTGTTCGGCTTCTCCAGGGCACATAAAAATATTTTGTACACTTGTGTACAGAGCTCTATTTATAATCTTTCAGCATACAAATTTTCACATGCCCTCCAACCATCTTTCACACATTATCTTAAAAAAATTTTAAGAATTCCGTGAGCAGTAGTCCTCAAGCGAACTATACCGACCGAGCGACCGCCGCTTGTCGGCGAAGTTAGTGCCAACTTTAGAGGATAGAGGGCGTCACGTGGTCAGCGCAACGGAATCTCCACGGCTGTTAATCTCGGTTTTCTAGACCGGAGCCGCTATTTCCTTGAAATAGCTCATCAATTATCCTCACGAGGCTGAGTGGACCCCGCTCCAGACCCAGTACTTCTCAGAAAATCTGGTAGCGCCGAGAATCGAATCCGGGACCTCTGGATCTGTAACCAGGACTACTAGAGCCACTAGACCACAGATGCATAAGCGTGGTTTTCTTGTTATTGTTTTTTTTAAACACAACACGGAATAATGTGCAAGTTTACAGACTCTTAGAATCGTAGAAGTGTCAGGCCTCTACTTCGCATTGCGCTTGCGCCGAAACGCAAGCTCGCCTACCTTTAAGTTTGGATTAGAGAAAACACTAATAAAACATGACTCTGAGTTGTCCTGAAAGACCTTCTTACGTCATATTCAGTGGAAAGGGTCAGATAATATTATTCTCCAAGTTTTGTCACTGAAAAATTAGAAAACCAGCGACTAGAAAAAATAAAATAAGCTAGTCTACACGATTTGGACGGAACTCAATGATCCATCTGAAGTTTATAATAAATTTCGATCATCAAAATTGTGTATTTTATGTGGATAAAAAAAGCTAAATTCGGAACAAGGTTAGGGGCCAAACAAAAAACAAGCAATCTTTCATGCTGATGCACGTGTGCAAATATTATGGACTTCGTAATTCCTCTGTCTTCAGACTCTCTGACAGCTTTGTACAAACAATATTTCTGCCTCTTATCCCTTATTTTCCACGTGATTCAAAGGAGTCACTCATGTAAATGAAGGCCATGCGTCTAGGTCAGTTTGGTTTAATCATAACCATATCGTGTGTTCTCCGCGTGCTCAGGATTAGAAATGAGAATTATGACTTCACTTCCAGGAGTATACTGGTGACTAGGCATCAGTATATTATTTGGTTTTTTCTGTGTTTATTTCTAGACTAGCCTTCTTACTAGGAATATCTAAAATTTCGGATGTTTTATGAGATAGATTTACACTATTTTCATAGGCCAAAAGCTGGTGTATCCCATGCAGTTTAGTCCAACTGGATTATCTTAGATATTCCTTATGGGGTCTTCCAAAACCAAGTTTTGGTGGACATACACCAGTTATAAAGATGTAACTAATATTCTTTTTCCAGAACTTTATCGCGTTCAATGAGGTTCACCCGTGTTCCTTGACTAGGACTGATTTCCGTTAGTATGAGGGTGTTTCGCAATAAAAATTAGGAGTCAGTAAGGACAGAACTAAAAATTAGAGCAATTACAGAATGCTAACAGATTGGGAAATCTCTTCCCCACTGCCATTTTGGACATAATTAATTCCACACTGACATTTCTGAAGTCGTAACTTGGCTTCTTGTCGAAACACAGCGTATATCTTCTTTTGCTCTGGCACTCCAAGATCCCGTAATACAGTGAATTACAACAAAGCAAAAAAAAAGTCCGTAGCTTTAGTCCGCATGCGAACTATACCAACCGAGCTACCGCCGCTTGTCGGCGAAGTTAGTGCCAACTTTAGCGGATAGAGGGTGTCGCGTGGTCAGCGGAAAGAATCCCCACGGCCGTTAATCTCGGTTTTCTAGACCGGAGCCGCTATTTCCGTGAATTAGCTCCTCAGTTATCTTCACGAGGCTGAGTGGACCCCGTTCCAGACCCACCACTTCTCAGAAAATCTCATAGCTGCGGGAATCGAATCCGGACCTCTGGATCTGTAGCCAGGAACTCTGACCACTAGACCACAGAGGCGGTCACAACGAATGATACGAAAAATAAAATACATTGTGTCCTTGTATTTCAGTGAGTGAAGCGATTCGTTATTGGCTGGATGGCAGAGGCTTTCTTCCCTGAATGGGCAAGAAGTTTCTCTTTACAAAGTCTCTAGCTCACGTAGCATCCTATCTAATGAACACGTGGAGAAATCCACCTATAGACAGAAGCTAATCATTAATGCAGAAATTCAGAATTCGTGGACCTCAGCCTTTTATTAATTTACACCGATATAGTGAAATGTAAATTTATCCCTTTAACAGGCCATGGAGGCCCATAGGGTTGTGGGAGTCAAGGGTCCCACATTTTCAAGATAATCGGCTCACAGATGGTGGTGAGGTTGTAAATCTTACGCGCCGGGCATCCTTTACTGCCAAGAATATTCAGAGGCTGAGTGGACCACAAAGCCATAGTGCCGCTGGAAGGATTGGGTCAATTAAAAAATTCAATGACCTCATCTGGAATCGAACCCGCGACCTTCGGGCATATAGCATAGTACCTCAACCAACTACCCTACCGCTTGTCCCTCCACCAATACAGTACAGGAAAGAAAAAATTGATATTAAAGAGCACGTTTATTTATAATAGGTCACTGTCTGCAGGGTGCCTTATCATTTCATGTTCTGGTTCTTAAAAACGCTGGCACTGGAGGCTTGTGGAGAGCGGATTTGAAGGATGTTATCGAAATCCGCAAAGAAGAGAATTAACTGAAAGAATGAAGAATCCAAACCCTTGGAATTCAAAGCATACGACATTACAACGCCCATTTTTTTGTGTTGCAATTGAACTAGATTGAATAATTGGTTTGTATTTACTGAACCAATCTTTTCATTTCTTTCTTTATGCAGTGTTATACTCTAGGAAATCCGTGGATGATGAAATGGAAATGATGAAATTATAATGTCTCATATTTTTTAATTCGCTTATTGGGGGATGGAGTCCAACTGGGTCCACTCGTCACGGCGACCACTGATTGGCCTATTCTACCTTCTTCGGGTGATTATGATGATGGAGAATTTGGTGGAATGAAGATTGGCAGGGGAAACCGAAATGCTCGGAGAAAAACAGCCCCAGCGCCACTTTGTCCACCACAAATCCCACTTGACCAGACCCGGGATCGAACCCGGGCCGCTGCGGTGGGAAGCCAGCGACTAACCGCTTGAGCTATGGCGCGGCCTCATGTCTCGTATTAATGCACAATCCCAGAT